ATGAACTCTGTTTTGTGTAACTATTTTTCAATAAGATTGTTTTTTATTAAAAATATTTTTATTATAAGTTTCAACTTTTATTAGCATTGATTACTTGAATGAGATTGTGAGATTCTGTTTTCAGTTATTTAATATTGATATTTTTCATGTAAATGTTTTGTTTTGGATGTTCCTTTGTAATTGAAGATTATTATATCCTAGCCCAAACTTCCTGCAGGACAGGGTTTGAGCCCAGGAAATCTGAGTTGACAGTCCAGAGTGTGTACCACATCACCACTCAACCCAAAGGCCCAATATTGGTCCTGTTTGAGCATCTTAAATATATACTGGTGACTTGAAAACAAAGTAGAACTTTTTTTCTATTTAGTTTTTAGGAAAAATAAAATAATCAAAAGTTATTCCAGTAAGTAGAGTACCCTTTCATACCTTGGGGCAGATGATGTTAATGCCATCTTTTTTTTCTGTGGCTTCCCGTTAATGAGGTTGTCATGTGACCAGCACAACCACCTTTACTTTTTCTCGACTAGTGTCAGACACCCATTAGAGTTGGCAGACTCAGGTGCCCTATATATCCCTTAAATAAAAAATCTCAGTCCAGATTTGAACCTGGGATCTTTCGGTTCTGCAGCCAAGATGGGACCCAATGGTTCTACAGCCAAGTGCTTTACCACTCAGCCACTGCGTCTCCTAAAAGGTATCCTATCTTACATTAAGCTGCGTAAAACTAAACGTTTGTGAGCCAATCAGACCATTGAAAAATATAAGCATTTTTTTTTAGTAGATTTCAACAAACAGTTAACCATAAATTAAACACTAATTTATGTAGCAACTTCTCCTTCATGGTCAAAGAATAGCACAACCTCATCCCCCATGAACTTGAAGATGCCGTTTGTTTTTTTTTTGTTTACTTTTAAATTGCTTCTGTGTCATGCTGGTAGTATGCTCAGGGCACTAAGGCCCAATCTCTTTTGGACCAGTGGGGGGGAAGTGAAGATCGGGGTGAAGGTTTCCATAATGTCATTTGGCACTCGACAAACACAACATAGATTGAGTAGGATTTGAACCTGAGCCCCCCTTGGTAGGTGGCCAACTGGTTTATTCCTCTCAGCCACGTATACCACTAATAGATAAAATTTATACAATTATACCATTAATAGATAAAATTATTTGGTCACCACCATCATCACCGCTTGGCTGTTTACCAAAGTAAAGGGATTGTTAAAGAGTTTGATTAATTAAATCTATTAATCAATGATTTATTTGATGTCCACCAGTTATTTGTTTTATGAGAAGGTATGATTTCCCTTTGTTTATAAGCTTTCTAGGCAGCATGTAGTTATTCCTTGAGAATTAGAACTGCAAAACTGCCTGGGTGTGTGCTATGTGGTACTGACTGTCATCACAAGGGTCCTGGGCTGAAATCCCACCTGTTGCTGTGCCTTAAGAATTTGGCCCACAAAAGAAGTTGTAAGGGGAAAAGGTCATCTCTTTTGTTAATATTACCTTAGACTGAGACAAATTATTACGACATAAACACAGCCGTGTGTTTTTGTGTTTCTCTGGTAACAGAACAGGTTAGCTATGCAGTGTGAATGATGCAGGATAAGTGGCATTGTTGTTAGCGGTCTTAGGTAAGGGAGACAACTTTAAGGAATACCAGATTGAAAAGACATGTTATTGTAGGGAATTAGTTGGAGTTAAATGTCCTGAGGATATGGGGTTGGCAAAACATCCTCGGAATGTAGGGTTTGAAAGACTCCGTGAATGGCGCCAAATGTCTTGAGGTTGTAGGGTTGGAAAGATGTCTCACCATCAGATTTGTACAGTTAGACTTCAATTTGTTTCTTCACTATCTTTGTATTCTCTAATGGCATTATTGATGTTGACATAGTCAAGTGTAAATCGTCATCTTTCTGTTGGTGTTGTAGGCATGTTCCAGGAATGCAGTCTCAATTGTTCAGGTTTCCAAAAATGTCTTCCCACATAAAGAAAATCAATTAGGCCTATCGTGGGGTTACAATTCTGGAGTTTTTGGGGGACAAACTGTTGACAATGCTTTGCAATCTGATCCAATATAAAGGTGGGGGGAGTAACAATTCTGGAGTTTTTGGGGGACAAACTGTTGACAATGCTTTGCAATCTGATCCAATATAAAGGTGGGGGGAGTAACAATTCTGAGTCTTTGCGAAATAAACTGTTGACAATTACTCTGCATTGAGTTGTAGTGTTTCTCTCACACTCAGTGTGCACCACATAAACTCAAGGGTGACATGTGACATAAAGTTGTGTCAGACGTTAAGAAAACAAAAAAAAAAGTCTCTATTCACATCAAACTTGTGACCAGATCAAATAAATACACATCGTTTCCTTCTGGTCGCTAGATCAAAAGTCAAGTAGTACAAACTTTTCTGCCAAAGTGTTCAACACAGGTATGTCCGCTTCGTTGTTCACTCTCACATGTCAACGACAGTTTTACATATTGCGGATGTTCCTTTAGAGTTGAAGATGATCTTAGTCCAAACCTCCCACAGGACGAGTGTAGGGCAGCGGGCAGGATATGAACCCTGGACCATCGAGACTACGAACCACACTCCAGCGCGCATACTGCACGGCCAGGCAAGCCTTTCAAAATATGCTTTATAACTCCTGGACCTTTAGAAAGTAGTGTCCTAACTATACCAGCAGCTTTACACGTGTAGTTTTAAAATTCATGCAGCATCTAAAAGCATTGCTTCTCCCTCATCAACAAACAGAATCGTCGCTGCGTTTCCATTCAAGTCTTTCCACAAGCTATCTTATATAATACAGACGTTACTTCAAAAAAGATGATTAGCTATACTAGACTTCCAGATGCGGTGCAGTTAAAAGCCTCAAAACTTAGTTGTAAATCTTTCTCTCTGCGGTTTCTAGTAAACAGACAATTAACAAGCTTAGTAAAAAATGAGTACATTCTAGCACTATAAAGCAGCATACAGACGAATAAAACCATCATCTACCAGGGACAGGCAAAATAAATAAAAATAGCATGTTAAGAATCGCAGCAAAGATGTCCAAGTAATTTTCTAAAGTACTATAATTTAGGTATATAAAATTAAATTTTGTTTCTTTTGACCAATGCATAGTACAGAACAGTGGAATTGAAATTATTGATAAAACTCATCAAAGCAAGTAAAATCTTTTTTTGTTTAGATTTATGCATGCTAATTTGAGAATATGTATTATGTTTCAATAACATTCTAAGAATATTTCTACTAATGCTTCTGTAATTTATTATCCACTTTTACATAAGTTTGATATAAGCTCATCTCCTGGCATAGCATTTATAGAGCACAATCCTGAGTATGCAACTATCTAAGTTCATTTAAACACAAATTTGGATTAGACAGCCCAATGCTCTTTTCATTCATTTAATAATGTTCTTCAGATCAAGTTGCAGAGATCTGTTTCATACAAAAAAAAAAAAAAAGCATGCAGAGAAATGAAACCATCATCTAATAGGGATATCAAAAAATCACAGCAAGGAATTTTTATTCTATAAGGCGAGTAGTCTTTTAAAATACTATGTTTTAGCTATATATATATATACTTAACTGTTTCTTTCGATGTATGCATTGCGTATGAGTGGGAGGTAACTCCAGCAAAGCAAGTCATCTTTTTTTTTTCTCTTTTTTTTTTTTTTTGCATGCAAGTTGAAAATATTTGTGTTCAACTAAACATAAAAAATAATTTTTAAAAGTTGTCAACATGTTATTATAATTAATAGCGCTAGAATAATTCATTATTTCAGTACATTTCAGTATCACTAAGACTTTCAATTCATTCTCTTTGATTTGGCTGCCCAATGTTCTATTTTTTCATTTTTCAGTTGGAGATCCAATTAGAAATATATCAGCATACAGTAAAATGAAGCCATCTCCTAGGAGTAACAGGTAAGGTTTGAAAGCTACATATAAAGATATGTACAGCAAGATGTCTAATAGTTGCTTAGATGAAGTCACATTTTACTGGGACTTCAAAATACTTTAATTTAACTTATTTAAAATTAGATTCCTTTGATATATATGCATAATTTGGAACAGATTAGCTAAGAAACTACAGGTAACTATCAGCAAAACGTAATTTATTTTTTTAATCTTTAGGTTTCATGCATGCCAATTAATGTGCTTTCAGTGTTCTAATAATTTAAACTAATTTTATTTTAATATTTTATATGTTGGTAATCGATAAAACTCCCATAGATAAACAGAGTAAATACAGAACTTTTATAATTCAATAATATAAATACTAATGTAGTACAATTTCCAATATCTCCATTTTAAGTTAACTAGTTGTTTTTTTTCTGTTACAAATGCTGATCCTACATAACAAAATTGGAAGAACAGATGAAGTCCAACAGAATAGTAAGGATTTTGAGGCAAGTATTTTATGACTATAGTTCTAAATGAAATAGCAAAGTTTTCTAAAATAAATATTTTAAGGTAATATATTCAGTTGTTTTGGACTACTTGTAATTAAGACTTGACTTAGCCAAGATTATGATTTAAGGTGTTGACATTGTTCTATATATTATTCTTTTTGTCATATCTGTACTGTCTTTAGAATAGTAGTTACCACAGTATTATTTAATTATAGCTTTACATTTTAAAGTTAACTAGTTTTTTTCTATTTCAAATGCTCTGCATACATAACTAAACAGGAAGAATAGATGAAGTCCAAAACTCAAAAGCAACAGGATAGCATGGATTTTGAGGTAAGTGTTTTATGAAAATAATTATAAATACAATAGAATTTTTTTTTATGAAAAAAAATGTTTAGGTAATATTCAGTTGTTTTGATTTACAGACCAAGATGGAGTACATCCTGCGGACTTACAGACCAAAATAAAGTACATCCTGCGAACTTACAGACCAAAATAAAGTACATCCTGCGAACTTACAGACCAAAATAAAGTACATCCTGCTCATTTACAGATCAAAATAAAGTACATCCTGCTCATTTACAGATCAAAATAAAGTACATCCTGCTAATATACAGACCAAAATAAAATACATTCTGCTGATTTACAGACCAAAATAAAGTACATTCTGGTGATTTACAGACACTTGCATGGGCTGGTTGTAATAAAAAGTGTGTTTAGATGATAGCCAAGATGAAACTTTGTGAAATTATTTATTAGCATAGACAAGAAATAAATAAATAAAAACATCTGGTAGGCCTAATTAATTATTTTGTTTTTGATACCAACAAGGGAAACAAATCCTTCAGTATTTAGAAATGGATGAATTTGTTAAACCATATTTCTCCCTCACACATTTTAATATTAATTTGATAATATATAATTATTTACTCTACCTAACAAAACATGCGCAGCAGGAGCATGCTGGGCCCATAACCCAGAGGTTCATGGATCGGAACCTCGCTATGCTACCACTTAATAAACTAGAAAAGCTACACTTGATAACCATAAATAACAACACCAGATTCATGAGTGAATTTATTTAGACGCTAACACACACGATACAAAACAATCCAACATTCAATCCCATAGTCAAGGGCAATCATTACAGATACTTCCATAAACAATGTCAACGACATGAATCAATTTAAAAAATACACTAGTCAAATAATTATTTGTAATTGATATCAAATCAGGGAAATAACTTGTACACTATTGATATACTTTTTTGGACAGAGTTCTTCCCATTTAGTTAATTTTTTTTTAACGGAATTTTTATAATTTGCTTGTTTAAAAATCTTATTATAGAATGAAACTGTAGGTGGGTCTGAACTTTATTTATAATGTTTAACCACAAGTCCTCCACCAAAAGAGATTCGCCATTGGTAAGAAAAAACACTCCACGGAAAATTTGTCTTTTTGTCTCGAAAGGCAATGGATGCGCCCTAATGAGTCACTGGTTTTGGCTTCTCCCGTGTTGTTTTAGCCGCTTTGCAGCAGCACCAGAGTTTCCTCTCCGGGGCGCATTTCTGGGCCTTAGATAAAGGGGCAATGGGTAGCCCATGCGTCATGATCCCTCTCTCGACCTTGCTGATGTGATCCAAAGGAACGCATTGCGTTACATTTGGCACCAACTCAGTTGCAGAAGCTGCCGGAGGGAATTTCATAGCTGATACTCTCAACGCCTCAGGGGCGTCACTCCTGATTTCTCCTCGAGGTTGTCTCCTGAAGCCTCAGTACCGCAAGGCAGCAGAGGTTTGAAGTCAGAGCACTATCATTTTTAGACTAAAGTCATGTGACACAATACTTTGAAAAAATGGCCGACGACACTACCTTTTTATTGACAGAGCAACTAAATTCAAATGTTTCATTAAGATCTTAGACTAGTAGCAAAGAATTTTCAGGATCAGAAAACGTCGATTACCGAAGGATTAAACCTAATGAGAAGGTGCGATAACAAATGCAAGCCTAGATAATATAGATACCTTATCTATTTAGTCTTAGCAGAGTTTTTAATCATCATTCATTCATTGATTCAAATATAGGACCTGATATTACCGCACAAAATATTTTTTTTTAAACTTTCTTTTTCTTTTGTGTGTAAAATTTCAACTTGATACGGGAATGGGTGTATTTGTGCGTTTATGACATTGGTTCTCTGAATGTAGAAAATACCAGGAAAAGTGAGCGTAACTTTAATTTTTGTGTGGAATATGATAAAAACCAACATATTTGTTTTAGAAAGAAAGTGTGACTGTTTAATGAAACAACAACATATAAACGGTAATATACAATAAATATGGCGGCACACTTGTTTGAACCGCGAATAAAAGATTGTCGTTGGCTAGCTAGCCACACTGATGCTCACATTTTAAGTAGAGAAATGAAACTATTTTCTGATCCTTAAAAAATATATATCGTCAAAATATCCCCATTAATTAATGTAGTACTAAATCCACGGGTTTCTAATAGGATAGTTTCAGAACAATTTCTTTTCGTTTTTATAAATTTTATGTCATGTGGCCCGCTAGACGAGTATTGGAAATTAAAATGGCCCGCAGGTTGAATTAGGTTGGGCATCAGTGGTCTAGATCTAATTATATGACTGATCCAAACTCATTGATACAAGATCACACTTCGTATAAGCTTTGTTTTTGTTTGTTTGTTGTCTTTTAAGTATTTTGTTGTTTTTCCTGTTCTCGTTCAAATAGCTTTTGAAAAGGCAGCACGGAAACCTTCTCCCACATAGAAGGAGGGAAAAAAAAGGGGGAGGGGACGTTAACGCTGGACAACTTCAAGCCAACATCTCAAAATGTCTCTTCTGCATTTTACGAAGTATAAAATGACAAACTTTACTTACCGGTAAGATGAGCATACACGGTTAATCTAAGCGACAGTTTTTTTTTTCTTCAAAGGGGCAGACTTCTGATCAAACCCACTGAGTGACGGGCAATCACGTGGAACGGGAACACGTTACCTGGACAGTCGTGTTGATACCCTAAACGCAGTCCACACGAATTAACATCACAGTATGATCACACTAATATAAAAAAGTAGCCAGAAATAAGTTATGCTCTATATCTCTATGTTAAGTAAGCCCCTATAAGTGTGTGTTTACCATTCCAGTGCAGTAGTGGGTAAATGTATAGGTCTACACGTCAGCAGAGGATAGCATGAAGACAGGCGTGCATGCGTTGCATGAAGAAGGAAACCAATTACTATAGGCCACTTTAAGTACGTTCTAGTGGGTAATTGTATAGGTCTACACGTCACAGGCAGACTACGGCGTGAAGACAGGCGTGCATGTGTTGCATAGAGTAGGAAACCGATCGCTATGGTCCTTGAAATAGCGTTCCACTGGGAATCGCTTTGTCCTTCGACCGTGCTGTACTTTAGACGCAGCATTTGTCTTATCGAATAACCTTCTTCATGACACAATCGAGGAGCAGGATTTGACCTATATATAAATTCAGTATGTGACAGTTAAGTTTCTAAAACAAATTGTGATTGAGTGTTTTGAAAACACGCCCCCCACACACACACACAGATACGCACACTCACACACATCTGCAATGCACATTGAACAGTCGTCTGCATGCCAGTGGTTCCCAGCGAGACCATTCGTTTTAGTAGGCTTCTACACTGGCTTGAAACGTCACAACCTGTGGCCAGTGGAGACCATTAGCTAGTTGACACGTTGCAGCTCAGTGTTCAGGCCTTCTAAGAGGTCTCGTTCCCAGCTCCCCTGATTTTACTATGTGGAGACCTTTCCAAGTTAATGATAGACCTACATCCACAATTGGTCTCCTTTTAAGAAAACTGAACCTGTTCAAAGGCAAATAGAAATAGGCATAGATCCTTGATCTAACCAGAGTGTTATGGAGTGTGTGTGTGTTTCTATGGTGACGGCGGGAAGATGTTAGCGATTGGTTGGGACTGATTCAAGAAATGTGGCTTTGTCGTCAGCGGTCTTAAAAGACACACGACCCCAGAACGTAAGACTGAATAGACTTGGTATTGTATTGAGTTATATTTTGTTCAAAAATATTATTACTAAAGTCTACTACATGTATTTCACAATAATAATGATGATTTCGTCTATATTATAATAAAAGTTATTTATAATTGTTCTCAAGGAAGTTAAAATATTTAAGTTATTTCAAGTATTATAGTTTTATTAGCTAAGATACATTACCACCAGCAGTTTGGGGCTACAAATCAACGACTATCTATAAAATAGAGGCATGGCTACTTATATATATTTTGTATTTATGCCAGAACATATATGACACAACTTCCATGGTGGAGATATTACGAAAGAAAACAACTCAGTGGCAACCATGGCGCGAAGGGGTGGGTTTAACAGTTTAAAATTATTACATTATTTTTATTAAATCATAGTATATTTATTGCTCTTAAATTATATTTCTGGTTTTCAAGCGAAACAACGAATTGATTCAAACTCTTTTTACTCTAGTATAAAATCCATTAAAGTGAGATAACTCTTAAATTATTAGTGCAGTGTTTCATTAAATTGTAATGTGTTAAGATAATGTGAAATCAACGTGAAGTGCACTATAAAAGAAAAATATGTTTGCTTTTTGTTTAATTGTCATATTCTTTCGTTAATATTGCTGCATACATAGACTAGTTGAATTACACGAATTAATAGTACGTATAGACAGTAAATTTCACATTTAGCTGATACGAACAATTATAGCAGTAAAATTACAAACGCTAATCCATCCTAATAAAAAAAAACTATTCCATCTACTTTATGTTCCTATAAACATATTTTAATCACTCGCTTATGTTCCTATATCTGCGACTGACTTAATATTAATTGATGAACTCCAGCGGGTATATTACAATGAACAGTGTTAATGATCATGGACTATATATAACTTCTCAATAACCTTGACTGCTCAACAGTGTTATATGGTCTGGACGTGGATGCGTTAAACTGTTTGTATTGTGTGTTATTGTAAGAGAGAGTATAATCTGAATAAACCACACCAAAAAATATCAGAAAGCATAATCTACTTATATCTGGTGCACCTAATTTCCTCACGAGCTTTCCACAATGCTGTTTTGCCTCAATCTTGGGTTGATGACAAGTTAACATCTGGAAACCAGTGGACCTTTCAGCCTGTGTACAATGATGGCGCAGAACGCAAGACTTATACACAACGGAATAATGACTGAGTGATGTACAGAAACATTTTTTTTGCGTTAATTAGCCCAGTTTTAAGTTACATTTTTGGACATAAAAACAGTTACAATAGCACCAACAAAAACATTTAGCATTTTGTTTCTCGGAATTTTTGGGCTTCCATAGAAACTAAAGACAGTTACTTTTAAAAGCATCCCGATTTCAAGGACTTCGTTCCTCGGCTTGTGTACGTACATGTGTCTACAACAGAGAATAACAAACAACCTAATGATCATCAAGTCTGAACAATTTCTGAATGATGTTAACCTTAATCGTTGTGAATACATGGAACTTACGGTTTTGTCTTGTGTCTTTTTGGAAATGTAATGAACTATGAAAAAAGTGTTTTGTTAAATTATGATTTTAAAAGCAGTGGATTTAGAAAAAAAACAACGTTGGGTGAATACAAATTAAAATTGATGACGCTAGAGTTTGTCTTCTTGCATCTCATGGAGGCATTTAAGAAGTTCCCCGTAGGCCTATATTTTATAGAAGGTTTCAAGAGGCGCCGTTATTTCATTTTAAAAAAAGTCATTAGATTTCAA